GTTGAAGAGCGCAGAATAAAGTCCATCGGTCGTTTGATTATTTTTGCTGTGCGAGGAGAAATATCTTCGAGGACGTCACTCTTTGGACTGTGTGTTGAATTCACAGAATCCAGACACAGTGTTGTTAATTCGTTGTCCAATGAATCAAGATGTGTTTGCAGTTTCCTTTTCCTTACAGTTTGTAAGTCACATTTATTTTCTTGGACCATTTGTCGAAATTGAGTCCCATGACAACTAACATTCAAACCAGCACAACTTTCGTCTTCGCTTTCATCGCCGTCGTTGTTCATGGCGAACATCAGCTCGTCCCACGATTCGTTTATAGTTTCCTTGTCCAGAAGAACCATTCTAAAATGAAGATACACTAGAATTATTGCTATGTACTTTGTGCGGAGCTGTCGTGGTGTCTTTAAAGTGAGGAATGATACATCGTTTAAGTAAGCAGGTTGATATCTCAACATCAATAAATAAAGAAAAAATATTTTGAAGTGGTTGCTATGGCGATAGTCACGAAATCCACTGCAAGACGTGACAGCGAAATGAGGAATTGAAAAGAAAATAAGTAACTTTATTGGAAAACMTTTTTCTAATATCATTCAAAACAAAAAACATACAACTATATATTGTTTTATGTGCATCGATGTCGATTAGAGTAATGAAATGATCCTCACGTTATAAAAAAGACAAAAGCAAGCAGCGTAACATAACGTAATCACTACAACAGAAAGAGTTTATTGTCGATTCAGTTTTCGACCGAACACAGCCGGATCATTGAAGTAATTTTTGTCAATTGTCAGATTCATATGRATATTCTAACCAACTYAAACCTCATTGAYGTTTAATTTTAGGTGTCAAATAACTGCGCAARATGTAGATTCTGAAAATGGCAGGGTTGAGTKTCGTGGTATCTGATTTTTATTCACTGCTGAGACTTAATGACAAATCAACCAAGATCGAGGTTAAATTCAGAATCGTATAAAATCAGCGACCAGTTGCACACGGGAAACTATAGTGAGCCGCAATCACATCGCGTGTTTCAGAGTAAAATGTATATAAGATACTTGTGTCGATTTACTGGGGCTTAGAGAAGTTACCAAGTTTTTGTTTGAAGAGGCTATCAAGCAATAACCACTGAACGATGAGTCATTCAATGGTGGTGACTAATCTCTGAGTCATTCATGACAAATCCATACATAATAGACCACACTCGGACCACTCAAGCACAAGTAATATCAAAGTCGTTTTTGACCATAAAAACGTTACACTTTTTTTGGACCTTGAAAACCTTTGCCATGGGAACAAAATTATTTGAAAGAAGCAAGGGTAACACATTTTGCTTGTCAGCTCCTCCTGAAAGTTTTTGTCTTTACACTTAGATCCAGATGAGTAAGCCACCTCTTGCATCTGGGTTCCCTTTTTTAGTGAATTTTGGGTTGCTACAGTTGACTCGACTCGCTTGTGCTTGTGTTATAGTTCAGGTTAAT